CAATTTCGCGGTTTTCTCCGTTCTCTTCGTTGTTTACTTCTTACAGCAAAGATGGCGTCGAGATTTCGGCAGCTAGAAAATAACTTTTTTCGTTCTTTCCGTCCCGCGCGATCTTGTGTCTTTCGTTCATGACTGATTCTGACTATTTCTGACTAGTCCGGACTCGTACGGGATCGCAACTATTAATTCGCCTTGCTTTGAAGTATTGATCGATACTCGGTACCGATTTAATAAGTATCCAAATCTTTCGATACTCGGTACCAAAACTTTTAGGCTTCCAATTAGAACGCATGTATAGAGGCTAATAGAGGTTTTAATTTCCATTTTCCATCGCCACAATGCAGAGAAACTCTTCCTTATTTGAAACATTTTTTTCTAGATGATTCGGACGATGTTATCTTTGTAGGCCTGAAAGACTTCGTTCATCCGTCCAAGCATTTTTCTAAAATTTTAGATCTACGAAGGTGGAAACTGATAAAACGGAATTTTACTGTTGCGACAATAGCAAGAAGGCGAAGAGAGTGTTTTGATATGTGGTTTCCACATTGCTTAGTACAAATTGTTCAACTTTTGGGAAGCATCGTCTTATACGTACTAATTGTGAAGCATATTCATAGTCAAAATAAAGTCTATGCAATTTTTTTGACAGATATTCTGTTGAAAATTATGACAAAAGGCTGCAATTATATATAGAATCGGTATTGGGTACCGAGATATTTCTGAAGTATTGGGTACCGAGTATTGGGTACCGGCAATTCAGCACATCATTATTGTTTACTGGTTGTATTGTGGTTTTACAGCTCTAGTTAACGTGATGAAAACGTCAGCTACGATTGGTTTAGTGTTATAATATTTTATTGCAAGGATTTGTACGCACCAAATGGATTAGAAGCTAAGGTATTTATAAGTTAGTGAAATGTGCGCATGAGAAGGGACATATAGATATATGTATACATATGGCTCGGGATGGTTGGCCAAATTTTGTAGGTACATACATATCAGGGTTGGTGCGAACTTCCGCATTAAAATCAACATTCGCATTGGCAATAATCGATGCGGAGCTTTTGCGAAAGCGAATGTTGGGGTGGGGTTTAGTAGCAGCGCTCACAACTATTTCGGGCTATTCCGTCCAAAGGGGTGGCCCGATACAACGACAGTCGGGTCTACGTAACCGGAACGACCCAGATTTATATCTGGCCAAGGACTGTCACTCCAGCAACACTCCCCAAAAAGTCTTTGGGGAATTTGTATGCTGCTACAACAACAACAACATACAAAAAAAAATTCCACACACTTATAGTCAAGGGTGTACGCATTAGGAGCGTTCCTTTTCTCCCAGAAAAAGTCCGAAGTAGTCAGATTTAGGTCGGTGTTATGCAGACAAACTTTTGTTTGCCAAATTAAATGGCGGCTGCTTAGTTTGCTCGGAGGTGGTTATGTCGAGTTTGGCACAGTGTTGCACGTTCATTATGGTTTTCATGGCTATTGNACATAACGCGCAAAATTTAAAATTTTTGTATATGACAACACCGAATTTGCTGCAGTTTGACCAAACAAAATTAGTTTGCTGTGAGAGTCGCCAAACTCGCTCTCTCCGAGTTTTCTGCAACAACAATTGCACGCAGTTTGCCAAACAAAATTTCTGCATAACACCGACCTAAGTCCATGATTCAACAACTACAGGTTGTAGCAATGGTACAAAAACAACATTTACTGTTGGTATGAACTCCTTGTGTCATCACCATCTTTTTTATCTACTCATATTCGTGTGTATATGTATACCCTGCATACCAGGATTTCATAGAATTCTGAAAGGTTTCACAATTTTTTTTTAAGAATTTTCTTTAAGAAATCGTACAGAAATTTCTTTACTAGTTCTTATCAACCGCCTCATATGTTTTTCTTTACAGATTTCTAAAAGAATCGTAACAAATTTCCGACACTTAAAGATTTCGGGAGCATTTGTTTGCAGGGTATATATATACGTATATGTGTGTGTGTACGCGGATATGTAAATATAGCAAAGCAGACGATAATTTGACACAAGCGTGCTCATAAGAAGAAGCATAGCTTCTATCGCT